CGTCTAAGAAAGTAAAAATAATTCTTAGCTCATAGGCCATATAGAAACAGGTCCTGGTTTACACGCCTTTGCTCTAAAGAGTTGATGCTGTCTGTCAGAAATGAAAACTTTTCCTTCTGCCCATTTAGATTTAGTGCTTTGGGCCTTTGAATCAAACTGACGAAAAGGAGAGAGAAATTGCATTCGTATATGCACATTGCAGAAAGGAAATGGAAGACATAAAGAGAAAAGAATGGGTAATGACCATAGAGAACATGCTAGGTCCTTAGGACAGAAAGGACAGCGGACGGCCTGTGACCATGCCTCTCCTGAGAGCTCTTGTCCTGGTGCCGACTTCTCAGGAGCAGGGACAAGAGTCGATCTTGTCTAGTCCCAAGCCCCTGGAGAAGTGTGTGGTGGCAGGGTTCCTTTTGGAGGCTCTGCTCTTAGACAGTGAGGTAAGTCCTGGCCTCATCGACTCTGTCGATGGCCTTCACATGCGCCATCAGGAACCGTGGTACACTTGCGGTATTTAAAATATAACCCTTCCTACGGACTCTCAAACTGCACCACCTACACAGGAGTCTGGAAGGCTCCTGCAGTTTAGGGGGTGAGAAAAAAGTGTTATGTTTTGAATCTAGCTTGAACCCAACACAGACCACAGTTTAGAACACTTGGTCCCCAGACGATGCTGCTACCTTGAGGGCTGTAGGGCCATTAGGAAGTCAGGGATAACTGGCAGAAACGGCTCACTGGGGTCAAGCCTTTGAAAGTTATATCCTAAACCCTAATTCTGTCTGCCAGAATAGGAGGCCCTCTCCCACACAGTCCATCTGCCACGAACACTGCTAGGCTTCCCCACTACAATGGACTGAAATCCTGAACTAAAATAAACCTGTCCCTCATTGCTTCTGTTGCGTATTTTGATCACAGAACCAACAGAAGTAACCAGGACTGTGAGGACTAGGTATATATGCTACAGGTGGTTGAACATCCCCTTTACAAAGCTTCCAGGGGTAGGATCTGTCAAGCACCTCCTGATCTGAGCCAGGCATATGTATGCAATATAGTCACAAGGTGACCTCAATGTTCACGTCAGGTAGAGCTTGGATAGACAACCCACAAGTTGCAATGTGCTACCCAGAGCCATAAGACCCTCTGGAAGTGTGTCATGCCGGGAAAGCACCACACCCAGCATTTGTTGAATGGGCAGTTTCAAAAGGGCACATCCTTGTGCAAGAGAGGGAGGTCAGGGCCAGGGAGGTCAAGGGAGATGGCAAGGAACTCCTGGATGCCCACATTCCACTGCGAGGCCCGTGTCACATGCCAGAGAATCTGCTGTTCCGCACAAATGGTTCACCCACCTTTGCATATTTTTACCAAGAAGAAAATTTAAACCTGCCACTCAGATTGCTGAATGGCATTTTGATTGTCTCCTGCTTGGCGGACTAGCCCTCCTTTCAGTCAAACACGTGTACAATTGATTTAGCCAAGCCTAGGCTATTGAGAAATCTGTGACCTTCAGGTCAGGATTCACTCAAAAATAGGGACAGTCAACCAACACGTGTAGTCAGGACCCAAGTAAGGTTAACATCAGCCTGGAGAGGGAAAGAACACCACCACACGCATTCCTGGCAAACACGGTGGGAAATGGGCACCCAAAACAAAATCTCTTTTTGATAGAGCTTTGTTAGAGGTTGGATGTCTTCTCTCTTTTCATCCACCTTGATTTGGGTGCATTCTGTGCTGGCTCTTGATTCAAGACTGGCCTTTGTACTTAGTTAATATTATATATCCCACGTTGTGAAATAAGTTAAACAATGATGGTCTGTTAAAGCAACAGTTTCTTTCCTTTATAAGAGATAATGAATCTAAGTATCGAGAAATGGCCAATGTCAAGTAGAGGCTCATAATCGCTCTTATTTTATAAGGTTTGAAAGGTGTATCCATTCAGTCAGTCAGTGAATACAGCTTTACCAAAGCCTGCTGTGTTGGAAGCATTGTGCTAGTGGGGTACAATGGAAAACAACACCCATCAAAAGGAAAGAGGCTGGGTCATGGCAGGGATAGGGGAGAGGGAACCCTTGGTTTTGTTTTTTAGTTAGTTGAGATCTGGCTTTGGTCATCAAGAATGACCTTTCTCAGGCTGTCTGTGACATCTAAACTGGAATCTGAAGCCAAGGCAAAGTCCTCAGCTGACAAAAGGTCATTAGAACCCATGTGGACCGGTCCAAGAGGAGCCCGGAGAAGCAAACTGGCAGTTGCTGGGGGTGTAAGGAAGGGGACATCACCACCACCATGCAGAGGAGGAAGGGAATCGTGGAAAGAAATTACAGAAATGCAGATGCATTTTCAGCAAGTAGCCATGGGCAAGAGGGTTTTGAAATGCAGTTGACGGGGCTTGGAAAGGATTTGATATAGGAATGGGATGGAGGCACGGAATTTTCTAGTACCCTTTACACTTTCTTGATCTATTTCTTTGGGGTCATTTATCACTGATTTAATTGAAGCCATTTAAGCTATGACATTGTTAAACAATTTATTATTTATTCATCACTCTGTCCTTCAACAGTAGTGTTGATTAATAGAAAGACAAGCCAAGTTTATATTCATAATTGATATGTGCTCATGGATATATTAAAAAAGGGGGGGGGGAGAAAGAGGTGAACTTACGTGTGAGCTGTATGCTGGTACAGCAGATCTCAGCTCAGACTGCCCCACACGTCAATCTGTAACCACCTGCGCCTACAGCAGACCTCAGCTCAGACTGCCCCACACATCAGTCTGTAACTATCTGTGTCTACTGCCTGTATACTGAACAGTGCAGAGCCAGAGCTATTGAATCCCTGGGAGTGAGAGAGACTCTGCGGGTGGGGAGGGAGGGGGTTGAGAGTAGTGGACTCTGGTGGGTAGGGCTACTCCACCTGGTTAACTATCCCACCTCCAGGACATCATTCCTGGAAGAGGGTGAGCACTTGCTAGAGAGTAAGTGAGCCAATAAAGGCCTAGTAAAGCAAGATTTTCCAAAGCAATGGTTTAGGACTTCAAAACAGCCCCCAGCGAGGTAGAACAAAGCTTTCGTTTTGAGCTAGCCGAGACTGATAGTCTAGGAGATGTGAAGATGCCAGAAAAGGAAGTTGGGTGAGTCTGGGACTGCGAAGAAAGGCACAGAGCAGACGGGCAAGGAGGGTAGGCAGGGAGATGTAAACTTGGCACATGGCTGACATCAAAAGCCAAAAGAATCATCAGATCACTGGGAAAGAATGCAAAGTAACCAAAAAGGAAGGGGCTTGGGACTCTTCTTCCAAGACACCAAGTCTTGACTTCATTTAAGACTTATTTGCATTACTTTAAAGCCGAGAGAGATCATTTTCTTCACACTAAGAAATACGATCCTCAAATATGAAGAAGCCCAGTCAGCTCTTGAATGAACCGGACTTGGAACTCAAAACTCTGAGAGATTGTGTAAAGAACGTGATTTACAGTAGGGGTTCGCAGAAAGGGCGTGGCCATTCTTGACTTCTCCTGGTATGACCTCTGGTAGGCAACATCTTTCAAAATTACAGCAGGATTATCCATGAGATTTTTCATCCGAATACCCTGGCGCTCTTTGCTCCTTTCCTCCACCTATTTTAGAAAAATAAATTGCCCTAGATGTACTTCAGTATAAGTTAATATCTTTACTCAAATGATTATTAGATGAATTAAAACAAATTAGGCTTTCTCTGCTGGCCTCCCAAAGCACAGAATTAACCGGAGCTCTACAGCCTGGCTTCGGGCTAAGCAGTTGTGTAACCTTGAACAGGCTCCTTCCCTAAAGGCCTCTTGGTTCTTATCAACAGTTCCTACAAGGTAACCTCTAGTTCTAAAAGACATTTATTATGACCCAGTGGTAACTTTTAATTATGGTTCAATCAATCTTCATATTTAACTTAAAATTCCATGAGTATGAGAAACCATCCTGGAGGTTGGGGGTGCAGGAATGAGAACCAAGTTCACTACTGGGAACTGAGGGAATGTGGGATAAGAAATAGCCATCAGAGATTGAAGGTCTGTGTCTACCTGAAACTATTAAGAGTAGAAGTTTGGAGTTGGGCAGTGGTGGCAGCCTGCCTTTGATCCCAGCACTTAGGAGGAGGCAGAAGCTGGCGGGGTCTCTAGGAGTTCAAGGCCAGCCTGGTCTACAGAGCTAGTTCCAGTACTTAAAAAAAACCCTGTCTCGGAAAACAAAAGCAAACAACCAACCAACCACAGCAACAACAAAAGAGTAGATGTTCGGAATACCAGATCTACCACTCCCCATCTGAGGCACAGGCTGAGTCCCAGTCTTGTGACAAGGGAGTCTAACCTGTTTGTTACTTGTGTACAGTAAATGGCAGGCTTGATTCACAAGATAATATACGCATGCACTAAAAAGGAGGCAGAAAGCGGGAATTTACAGGAAGAGGAGGAAGAAAAGCAGATGCAGGCAAAGTTAGGAAAATAAAAGGTGAGGTAAATGGAATTACAAGGTGGGGAGGGGCAGGGGACGTCTGCAGAGAAGAGACTGGAGCCAGTCCGACTGGGAGGTGAGGAGGTGGCCGCTGCTGACTTGCGGGGGCAGGCACCAGGTGGAGGAGGGGAGCGGGAGGGAGGGAGGGACTTGGCGAAGGGCAAAGGCAGGCAACACTTAAAAAGGGAATGACCCCAGATGGTTAATGCCACCAGTGACCTCCGATGCCCAGGGCAGGAGACCTCAGAAGGAAAATATATCCTCTGCGTCCCGGGCTCCTCCGGAGGCAGGCACACTGACTGGAAGGGCACAACCATGAGCGAGCTGTATAGCAAACAAGACACCCTGGCGCTGCGGGGCAAGCACATCGGGTAAGGAGCCTCAGCGGGCAGAAAGGGGCAGAGGGCAAACGGTTGGAACTGGGTGGGAGAGACAGAGTACCACACCCCCAGGCTCTGGAAAGAGAGTCCTGCCTGCCGGGAGGTGCAGCTGGAAGCCCCAACCTGAGCCTTCTGCGGCTCCCAGAGGCGGGGCAGCAGGTGGCTGGAGGTGCCGGCTCCTCCAACTCACACTCTCCTGAAAGCGGGTATCCAGCCTAGGGAAATGAGCGCAGCGAGCGGACTGGGGAGAACACGCCTCCATGCTCATCGACTCTACATCTGAATTCAGAAATCATTTGAGTGACGGCTCCGAAAACAAACTCATTCTGACAACTTCTGTTTAACGTGAAACTTTTTCCTTGTGTTTGGTGAGGCAATAGAGAGTTTCAGCAGCTAGCAGAAAACTTAAATCCCCTATATAAAACACAGGGGCTTCGCGGGCACGTTATAGCTTCTCCTTAAGCAGGGTTCTCACGTCGATTTTTAAATGCTGTGTTCTCCTGGTGTTTGTTCTGTCCGTGTTATGTGTTAATAATAGAACTGTGTATAAAAGACTGGCCTGAACTCTGGTCCCGGCTAGGTGTCGTGTTCATTCATCCCTGTCAAGTCATATTATTAACATTCCAGGAGCAAAGGAGAATGAGCAAGATAATATCTTGTGTATGGATTTTTTAAAGGACAATGCAGACTGTGCCCTAACACTGTGGAAGCAGCTGTCCATAGTGTGCATGTACTTAATTTCCTTATAATTTTGAGAAAGAGAGAGAGGAGGGGAAATAGGTGTAGGTCTTACATGAGATAATACTTATTAACAGCAGTTTCTGACATCTCTTGAGAGCCAAGGTGGAAAGTACGGCACCGAGCCCTCTGCAGCCTGCAGTGCTCAGTAAGACCCAAGGTTCTCTGTGTGCCTCTTAACTTGTAGATACAATCTAACTGTTGTGTTTGAGTCCACAAGAATTTCTCTCTCTCTCTCTCTCTCTCTTTCTCTCTCTCTCTCCTCCTCCCTCCCTCCCTCCCTCTCTCTCTTTTAATTTTAGCTGATGCTGAATATAAACTAGTCTACTGGTGGTGGTGCATGCCTTTAGTCCCCAGCAGTAGGGAGGCAGAGGCAAGCGGATCTCTGAGTTCCAGGACGGCCAGGACTGCTCAGAGAAACCCTGTCTCAGACAAAACAAAAGCAAAAACACTTGATATGTCAGAAACTGCTAAATGTTTTAATAATTATTATCGTATGTAATACCTATACTTGTTTCCCACTTCTCTCTCTTTCTCCAAATTATAAGGAACTTAATAACTAACTATAAATAACTTAGAGCTAAATACTACAAAGAGAATTTTTATGTATTTGGAGTGGCACTTGTCCTGTATCGAATAAATGGCTTTCCCATCTTAAATACTTAAATTGATTTGTTCTGGGATGCTTTGGTGAGCAAAATAAGCCCCCATAATTCGTGGTTATTTCCATGAACATTTATGGCATAGTATATAGCAAAACACAAACGTCACTGAGGTTTCTGAGCTTGGCTCAATGGATATTTAAGCCTAAAACTGTTTTTATTTTGATGCTTTTGCATATGGATAAGAACTCTGCATATATCCTAGGGGTTTATGGAGATTTTGTAATATTTATTAAGATGATATGCAACTGTTTAGAAAGTGTTTTGATTATCCAGAGTAGTGGGTAACCTAAAACTTTAAAAGGACTTATGGCTATGGTAAAAGTTGTTGTAGGTTTTTGTGCAATATTAAAGATTGGATCTCAGCACTTGTGTCTGTTAGAAAAGCAGTTCATGAGAGAGTTATAGCTTATCTCCTAGTTTATGTAGAGTTTTTTTTTCTTTTTTTGTCTTGTCTCTGAGACAGGGTTTCTCTGTATAGTCCTGGCTATTCTGAAACTCACTCTGTAGACCAGGCTGTCCTTGAACTAAGAGATCCTTCTGCCTCCCTCCTGCTGGGACTAAAGGCATGTGGCACTACCAGCAGGCTAGTTTATATTGTTTATCAGTGTCAGCTAAAATTTAAAAGGGGGGGGAGAAAGGAAGGAAGGAAGGAAGGAAGGAAGGAAGGAAGGAAGGAAGGAAGGAA